ATGTGCATAACCCTAAACCTGGGGTGTCAAACTTGTTTGCCCCTTCTGGGCCAGATGTGAACCACAGGGCTCCTTGAGGATAGGATCCAAACTATGGGGATCTTAGGCAGGGCAAGTAGCATCAGGAAACCATGAAAGATAATGCAGCCATTTCCCTTCGAGGAGCCCCACAGGCCATATTTTTGATATCTCTGAAGTGTAAACATATTCCTAAATCCTAACTGGAATAAACGGAACTTAAAAACTTAATAGAATGATTTAAGTGTGAGTTTACATGCTATCCCAAAATGAACAAACAACACTGGAATTTTTCCCTGGAAAAAAAGGAAAAGCTCATATTTTTATTTTTGTAAATCTTCAGCTTTAGATATTACATGGCTTTAAGTCGCTTCATGGCAATACAGTATCTTAAGAAAAGTCTCTTTCCCATCTCAAATATCTGCTTTTGAGATGTGGTTGGCTGAATCACCTTAGAGATCAAATAATCATTGAATATAAAATTCTGACTGTTAAAGCAGGTTAGTTCAAATATAATCATACTTGGTAGCTCTAGAAAATTTGGACAAAATTCTGATCTCATCTTCATCAACGTAACACCCACTAATCTCCATTAAATTATTCTTAATTCATCAATGAAACTGAGAACAGAATCAAACCCCCTGGATTCCTCAGCTTTTAAGTATGGTATTGAAAGTACATAAGATTGTCAGACAGGAAAAACATTGTTTGAGGCCTAGAAAGATGAAGAGCACGTGATTATTTGAATGCCAAACTTATATCCACCATTAGATTTGTATTTAAGACTGGTACAGGTCCACACATTTCATCCCAGCCACCCCCCATGTTAATACATGAACACTTCCTTTTAAAATTTATTTGTGTAATTCTCGTGTGAATTTACAATTTAGAGGCCATGCCTCCAATTCATAGGCTTGGCAAAATTATTTCAAGAAATATGTTCAGCTAACCTTTGAGCTGGCACCTCAGCCTGGCTATTCTCTGCCTTAAGACGTAGAAAGCTGCAAAACAAATGTCCAAAAAAAGAAATTCCAGCTTTTTTTGTCCTGTAAGGAGGATGGACTTGGCTTGGGATTTTAGGAACTTGTTACATTCCCGGAGACATACACACATTCAACATTCAGAGTTTTTCTGAAATAAAAAAAAAATCTGGGACACATTTAGAAATGGAAATAGCTTATGTCATTATTTAATTAGGAAAGTTAAGAAATACAGTCTAAGGTACAAGAGTGACTGAACATAATGATGTTATGCTATTCTTATTCAATCAGTCCGTAAATTAAAACTAGAAATGTAGAATAGCCCCTTCATCCAGTTGTAAGCTATCCTATTACAGGTTTCATCAACTTGGAAGTTTTCTTAAAGAAGCAGTATCCATTCCCATAAATATAAATGAATTCATGTAGATTTATTTTTTAACCCTGCTTCTTTCATATAGCTAACATAGAGTTAGCATCTGGATGCTAATTTTTATATAATTAAAACTATATGTATTTTAAGCTTCTGACCATCTGTGACAAATAAAGATGTTGACCATTTTTACAGCATATGAATTTTGAGTAACATCTAATCTAAAACTAATGATTGCACATCTTATCTACTTGTGCAACCATATTAAGCCCAATAACCAACCATAGCTAATCAGGATGCAAACACAAGATCCAAGCTGTATGCCCAAATTAAAAAAAAGTATGTTTGCCAATAAAATAAAAGATTAAATAGCTCAGATTATTTTGCTATATGATTTTGCTCTAATGACTGAAGCTCTCGTTTCTTGGTTTCCTACTCTTAACATGATATGAAAGTTTATGGGATTCAGGATAACTTCACTAGCACTGATATAAATCAGTGTAAAATTAGAAAGGAAGTAGTCCTTAAGGACTTGTTTCAAAGCCCAGTGAAGTCAAAGGAAGGCTTCCCATTGATTCAAGGAGCTTTGGGACAGACTCTGAGAATCCAGAGGCTGTCACTGTTCAAATGCTACAAAGGAAAATTCTAAATACATTATAAGCGCATCTTCTGTGAAAGGCTAGATTACAAAATCCTTTGGTGTAATGTGAAAGGAGAAGGATACTGTTTCTTCAACATCACTTACAACATTTAATATGAAAACATTATGCTTACAAGTTGAAAAAATAATTGAATAAAAATAACAACACTTCACTATTTTCTTGCAAAGCAACATGAAAACAGTTATGCAGTTCTATATAAGTATCTGTTCCTTCCAGAATATTTAAAAACGCGCAAATATATTTGTCACACTACAAAAAGCAGGCATGGGGCTTATAAATACAAGGCGCTTAGCAAATCTAACTTATTAAATTAGACCCCAATTCTGCAGCCATTACAGTTAATGGTCAAGCTCCTTGTGAATGTGATGGTGCCTCTATTAGTAGGCCAATATCCCTCAGGCCTGTATTTCAAAGGCTCATGAGTGACACAATATGGATTTATTTTTAGTTCTGAGTGGTGTATGTTTGACTATACAGAACTGCATTTCCATTTAAAGTATTGTTATGTCCAAGAAAGGAATTTTAAACAACTTGAGGCCAATTCTCTCATCCATATGTGAGATTTATATGGGTAACTCTCACCAGCACTGATGAGAGCTACACAAAACACCTCTCAACTAGCAATGAGAGTATAAACCCCTGGTTTTGTTAATAGTCTAGAAACACATATATTTTATCTCATAATGACAGGAGCAGCAGCACCTACCATACAGCTTCTTCACAGATGTTGTGAAAGGCAGTAGCATGCAAAACCTCCAGCAAAGCAATTGGTTACAGCTGCATCTATGGCATCCTCCATGTATGCTTATGCAAGCCCCACACCCTGCTAAATATGTCATCGAAAAAACACCTTTGATAATATACCTTTCACTAGGTTTAGCTAAACGTAACATGTCAGGTTTTAAATGTTTTTAATGATACATTACCGACGCTGGTTTGTGCAGTGATTTTTTGACTAATCCTTTTTCACTAATGCAGTGAATATTGAACAGTTTAATTCCTTGACTGCCCTGGTGCTGTACCATTAACCTGTAATCACAATGGCTTCGGTGGAAGATGGAAGGAAATTAGAACACAGACATCTAGTGGTTATGCTCTCTCTGGAAGCTGCTCTTACACCTTGTTAGGGAAAGATGATTAGAATAGTTTATGGCTGATGGACAGACACCATTAAAAATACATTCTTCTCCATAAAGACTTTTCAGGAAATACCAGATAGATTTCCTTAATGTCTGAGAAGAGCTACATTGCTGGATGTTGATGGTGATAGATTTTGTTTAAAAAAAATCTGCAAGAGAATTCTGTTTCAGTTAAACACCTCCTGTATGTCATATCTGTCTTTCTGTCTAATGATATGAACACAAATGGCCAAATTGTCAGAGGAACTAAATCAGCAGAGCTCCACTGATTTCAAGGAGCTATACCAATTAATTACAAGAGAGGATCTGGCAGTAGAACTACAACAACTTACAGCAGCTGGGGATCCAACCTTCCAGTTTGCACATACTTGACAATAGGTTACAAAAAGGTTTGCTCTTGCCACTGTCCCTAGCAAAGGAGTTGTCCAAATTGCATTCAGAATGAACATTCTTTTTCCATAGCTATATTATGGCTGTTCTTTAAAAATACAGTTGCATTTTGATCTATACTTTAAAATCTTTTATTCTCAAAAATACTTATTTACTTAAAATGTTGAAGGACCAGATCCAGATCGATTTTATAGGTACCTCCACTTAGGTATCACAATGTCATTAAAATGTAGGCTCCTTGCCCCAAGAGACTGGTTCATATCAGAAAAGTTAGATGCCTAGTCAGTGAATAAAATAATCCAGAATACCTAGCTGCTGAACAAGGAGGTACCTACAGTTGGTCAATAGGAAATGAGAGGCCCAGGGGTGTTCCTGAACTCCTGTTCCTGATCAAGCTAAGTCACCTGACTCAGAGCTGAACATTACACATGCCTTTGTCATCTCAACTTTCATGGTACCCACAGTTTACCTCCCCTGCTCAAGGCACTGGCATCAGCATGAAGTACAGCACACCCATCTTTTCCCCAATATTCTAGTGTTTCTCAATCTTGTTAGACTCAAGGCACTCCTCAGAATATGCCAGCTCTTAACTTTCATTCATTTTTGGCTGCGGAAAAATAATAGTGCAATCCTCCTGTTGCAAAGAACTCAGAAAAACCACAAAAGGTCAGGAAGTTTTTGACACTACAGATTCCTATTTGGAATCTCTGGATTAATTTTTTTGCACACCTAACAGAGATAATATTTTGTGACACCCCAGGACACATTTAAAAGGGTCTCAAGGCACCCCAGGGTGCCGTCTTACCCTGGTTGAGAATCACCTGGTTAGAGAATTCACCCAAGGAGGCAGTCAGGTTCTAAGCCCTCTTTGGTCTCAACACTTCAAACCTCTAGGTCCCAAGAGAGGACCCTCACTTTTTTTTGTATGATGTGGGCTACTGGCCTTTGTAAAGGGAGGAGAGGCTCCCTCTTCCCTCTCTCCTGTTGAAGCCTGGACCACTGAATGGCAAAGAATGCAAGATTCATGCGATCAGACAGCAGATGCCATGAAGACATAGATTCTAATTCCTGCTGCCCAGCTTATTTCTTTTTTAAACTAGTGGCTGTCTAATATAAAATGCAAAAACAATTCTGGAAGTAAAACCAGAACCCAGGACTCCCCAATCCCACAGGAAGGTCCTCCTCACTTCCAAGTCACACTTTTGTCTTGCACGCTCTTCTTCTGACACAAGGAGTCTTGCATGCTTGCCTGTCAGGTGGTCCAGGAGTAAAGAGGACCCACACTCAGAATAGCTAATAATCTGGTGGAAAGTGGGAGATGTGGATTCGACTCCTCTCAGACTGAGGAAGACTTAAAACCCAGGTTTTGCATTTTTGAGTGCATGCTCTAACCACGGGACTATTGAGCCAAAGTAGCTTCCACCTCCTCTTCCTCCTCCTCCTCCTTTTGCAATGAAATGTATGCATGCTGGCAATGTCAAAAAGTGACAGAGGGCTCTTAGCCACCTGAGGAATCAGAGATTTAGATGGATATGACTTCCAGTACCTATCTGGATCGCAAGAGAGCTTTGGCAGGATTTAGCTGTCCAGGTGGCCAACCTGGATTGTTTTTTGTGTATGTATAACAACCTAAGCTGAGATGTCTTGGATCTTTTCAAGACAAAATGGAGTTGCTGAATGAATTAATCTATGGGCCCTGGTGGCTTTGTACCTGTTGGCCCCAATGTTAAATTGCTTTTTGAGACTTAGGTGCCTAAACTTCACCCAAGTCCTGTTTAGGGGCATAAAAAATGTATTTGGATCTGGCCCTGTATCCCAGCTGTTATATCACAGTTTACACATCAATGAAACAGATACTGATATGCTTAGGGTAGATTACCTACATAAATAAGCTTATAAATCAGCATGCAGAAAAGTCCACAAAAAGGTGCATCTTGGATAAGAAATACATGGACCTATGGAAATTATCTTCACTGGCCACCAAAAGAATTACAGAAATGTTTGCAATCTAAATCTAGCAATGTAGAAATGAATAATTCTGTCTAAAAGACTAATAGATCAAAGAAAGAATACCTCACCACAATGAGGAACCCTGCTTATAGCTGAGAGGGATTAGCAGAAACTAAAACAGCTCAAAACCAATGACACTCTGCATTATTAGATGGTAGAGACAGAACTGTTGCTCTCATATTGAAAAATAATTGGCCATATCATCCATATTATAAAACTATGCATGAAAACACTTAGCTGTCTGCTTTGCCAACCCCAGTATAATCGTCTTCAGAATCAAGTAACAAATGCATGCACTGTATGCATGTGATATAACTGGCTAAAACGCAGCATTGCTGATTTGAATAATAACAGGACATAACCTTGGCTGTAGTAAATGAGCATAGTCCCACTGATGTCAATGGAGCTTGGCCAATTCACAGCGGCGTCAAGCCTAACAGAGGCATGAAG